CCTCATGAATTTTTATTCGTCATTTTATCATTACAATTAATGCTTTTTAATTCACACCTAGTGCTATTTTTATCTACAGTGATATTCCACTCGCTATACAGTCGATTCCAGCCATTCACAGGGATTCATATTTAATATATGATCTCTTTTTAATATATCTCTCTTAATCTCTTTTTATTTTCCCTACGTACACTTGTTCGTTAGTAATTTATAGAATTTATGACTTCTCATTCAATAATTCAGTGATAAAGTAATGAAACAGAATAAGTTAGTGTCTTTTATAGATGGGTTTTTAGAGCAACTCTTTTTGTATGAAACGAAATGAGATCTACGAGACAGATTTCGATAGAAATCTTAAAGATATTTATCAAAGGGATGTCACACCAGTTTTTTCAAGCACCAGAAATATTACATTTGAGTCGTTATGCAATTTTTCATTGCTAGTAACATTTATTGTACATTCAATGTAAGGCATTGACTAGTTCTTTTTTCCTTGCTATTGATTCTCTGGAAGATCATACAAAACAATAATTCTTGATTCAATTTGGAGTTCTCAGTTGATCTGAGTAGGAATAAATCAAGTTGAGAATCTACTCATTTCAAGTAGATTTGCGGGGCGGGTGTCTGTAACGTTATGCTGCTCAGCTTGTAATGTCATGCCTTTTTTTCACTTTTAAGGGTATCCAAGTACTTTGGCTATTTTTTCTCCAGTAAAATCCTTTTCTATTTTTGTTCTGGAGTATCAGAGCTTTCATTGGAGCCCCATTTGACCCTAAGTTTCCGGACATTTTACAATGATTTGATTATTTAAAAAGTTTAAATTATTTAAAAAGCATTTGAATTTGAATCTCGATGTATAACCGTTAGTAAACATTTTAAAAATCGGAATTTTTTAAAATTATGAGCATTTTGTATAAATAACTGATGGAGAATCAATTTTCCACTATAAAAATTGTTTGTTCAGAATAAATGAGAGTCTTTCGTATCATATGATAGCAGAGTTCATGCACGAAAGAAGTCCAGATATGCCTGAAATATCATCATCGCTTGCTCTTAATCGCCTTGAGGTCAAAGAAAAAAACATTATTAACTTTTCATTCAGCATCGTATTGAACTCATTTCAAAGGGCACCGATTTCTCGTCTGAACTTTATTATAAAATCATCAAATATATATGCTATTTTCTGCACTCAACATTATTGTTATGCTATTAGGTCGTTTTGTCTCTTAATGTCTGTTTCAATCTGGAGATTACGGGGAGACTCCTCTGAGTTTTAAAATTCCTGGAAATCCCATTTACATTTTCCATGCTATTTCCATTTTCATTTATAAATAGTGAATTTGAATCATCGTATTACCTTCATTGTCTTAAAGAAAAAAATGTCGAAGTGCGTAAAAATAACATTTTCAAGCTATTTCTAGAGTTTAAACTCTCTACACCCCCTTTTTTTCTATAATAAAAAAATTATTTGAAAAATTCAAGTAAAAATCAATATTTTTTGTTCGAACCTTTTTTTTCTCAGAGGTCAAATTCTCCTGATATCTATTTTTATTCGAAATTTCTTCAGTTCCACTTATCTCGATCACGAATGCTTAAAAAAATCTGAAAAAAATCACAGAGAGTACTTTTGATGAGTATTAAACCCATGATTTTTTCACATTTTTGGAAACCTTGTAAAAATAGGTGCACAGCAAAAACGAATGTCTGAATTTCACACACCTTTCGTAGACATTTTTCAGACCCGAAAAAACGACTGAATAAAATGAAAATTTTTCTGAATTTCAAACATGAATTAAGATGTTTAGGCACCTGGTCGTCTGAAATTCAGACAAATTATATTTGTTCTGTCTGATTTGTTTCATTTTACTCGGACGGTTTTTAGTATCTTAAAAATGTCTACAACAAACGAAAATAAAACGAAATTACTTGTATAGAAGTCAACTTTTAAAAAACTAGCTCGCAATTGTTATTGTACACATTTTTTCAAAAATTAAGAAAAAAAACTCCGTAGCTCAAAAATTGCAGGCCCTGAACTATTTTAAAAATTTTAAGCGTCTGCGGGACAAACGAACAATAAACAATTTTTTTTTGCACTAATTATTCACTTTTAGACATATATAATCGATCTTCAATGTATCAAAAATCTCACTCCTAGTAGTCTCCCCTTAAAAAAAATCTGAAAAATTTTAAATCAAATATTTTGGACACTTGAAAAAATGGTGTGACCTTAAACCTCAGTATGCAATAAAATTGACCCATCCTGTTGCATCATTCCACTACTGAATCCAAATCAATTAATTCTGTACGTCGTGGAATCATCATCATTTAAATTATGTACACGATAATTTATTCATTTCTTTTAAAGTATCAGTTTTATTGCCTAATATACAAGATTCAATGCGCGCTCATGTCTCTTCATTTGACTCAATTCCCCTTCACATTCTCAATGGATTGTATTTCTGTCAATAAAATTCTACATCTGTTAATTGTCATTCGAGGAATGGAACAGGATTCGTGTCGGAGGACTAATCGATTGCTGCGATGTTTCATTTTCGTTTTATTATTTCATCGTATTATAATCATAATTTGTGTCGATGTCTGACTATTCATTTATTTCAGCGATATTTACTTCTTATTTCTCCTTCGATTGTATCAACGCGCGAGCCTCCCATCTGTGCAGTAGTCACACATTAATCAGACTGTTTTATCATTATGTTTTGGTTTATTCGTTCGAAGACGTTATTTATATTTATAACACAGTTGCAAACAGGAAGGAAGAAAGAACGTGAAAATAGATTTTCTCTTGGAATTATTATTTTTTTTTCGGTTATACTTTCTTGAATAATCGTTGGAAAATCAGTGAATATGCGTTATCGGTGAGACTCGCGCTTAGGCCGTGCACGATCTTCAAAGAAAAATAGTATTTCCTTTATTCATTGTTCTCATAATTTTATGCTTTTTCTTCCATCTCTATTCACACTTGTAATCCGAGGATCTAACATACGTGTAGAGAGAAAAAAATAGCGACAATGAGACAGAGAGGGGTCTGTGATAACCCGGCGCTCTACGTAGAAAAATAAATTATCGCCGAGGATAATTCAGGAGTCAATTCGAAAAACTACTCGAGTCAGACGTGAGGTCTTCATCAAGTTGGCAATTATCTCGTTAATGAGTGGGTTTAAGGAAAAATGTCAAAAAAACTTTTATGAAGAGAAGAAAATTTCGCGTTGAAAATGTTTTATGACATTTCTTCGTAAAATCACTTACGAACGAGATAAATCCATAATCCAATTTTTTTACACATTTGTGCCTTTGGCATTTGTTTCATACAATGCTTTTTCAATGGCTCATCATCTCTTCAACAAACTGCTGTAGAAAATGTTTTGTAACACATCAATTACTATTTATGGTGTAGATTTCCTTGAATAATTGATTCTTTCATTATTTTTAGAAGAAATAAATAAAAAGAGCTTTTCATTGAAAAATTTTCTCCTGAGCTCGAATAATTTTACAACTTTTCCTCTGAACTATCAATCAAATCCCCTCATTTTCATTTTATTTATACAATATGATTAACAATCTATGGACTACCTCGAAAATATACTCGATTATATTAATGAATTACTTCCAAAGCTCAATTCGAGTAGTGAGTGTCAATCTTGATCAGACACTGTGGTTCAGGTAATCGTCGAAGATTTGAATATTCTACTTTCCCGACAGTAGCTACACACCGACCGTAACATTTCTGAAAAGAAAACACCTGTGATGGAGTCGAGTAGTCACGTCTCGTGCGAGTCAGACGTGCAAATCTCGTTAGGGTGGGGTTGGGGGGCGGGATCGATAGATCGAGGCAGTCCCATTGTCGAATCACTACTAATTCACGTACTCCGTCAGACCACCTGACATCACTGGACCTCGTACAACAAGTAGGTGATACATACTCTCTCTACTGGTTAATTATACAACACTCTATACCATCGACAAAGTTATCACAGACGCGAAGAACGTTTTCGCTAGAGTTTTCCCCTGTATTTAATATCTATCCACTTCCCTGCTCTCCAGACACTGATATACTTTTGATATTTTTTATTTGCACGATAGTCTAGACAATGGACAATTACGCGAACACGTTCTCCTCGTTAACGATTCAGTTTGATTTGATTTTTTTTTTGTAGATTTAACTTTAGGTTTTTAGGTTTTTGGGATTATCTTTGCTGCGGAGACTTTGAGTCGAGTTCTTTCTCGTGATGGTTATGCAGTTGGGGGATTGGGCACCCCAGGAGCGGAATTTTGTGTCTCGTTTTGGCTGGAGTGTAGTGATGAAGAATGGGAGATTGATAGAAAAATTGGGGAGCGATTATTTTGGTAATATCTCGGAATATAAGGGGTTTAGAAGAAAATGTGATTAAACGTTTTTTGTAGAAAATTTTGTGAGCTACAAAAAAGGTTTAGGGATGTCTTTTATTAGAACAGGTAGTTCTTGAGATATTTGCAAAATTGTCTGCACGTGAAGTCTCAAATGTTGTTTTTCTGTGGATAATCACTCTGATTTTAAAGAACTATTCTTGTAGAGTATAATTAATAACAAATGCGTTGTAAATTTATATTGTGGTTATTTTGCAAACCACAGAAAATGTTTTTTCACAACAAATTAGGCGGATTTTCAGGAAGGCGGATGCAATTTCCTTATAAATTTAGTAGTTTTGAAGATATTTGGAGGATTATCTCTACAAGATTTTTCGACTCATCAATTGTTATTCTTTTTAAGATTCAATCTGTTGAATTATTTCGGTACTGACCGATGTTAAGAGATCTCAAGAGACCTTGTTCATAAAAAAAACAGAAACTATAAAAAAATCCACCAACATTTTTTCTGAAATAATTCAGTAACAAAAAAAAATAAAAAAGAAGATTCATGTGCTGTTTGTTCGTTAGAGAAAAATTTTAAGAAACATTATTTGTGTCTCAAAAAATTCTCTACAAAAAAGTCTCGTGTTTTTTTTTCTAATTAATTTCCGAGATATCCACAAAACAATAACAAATTTCCATTTTATTCTATCATAGCTCCGATTGTGAATCACTTTACAACCTACTCAATCCCCTGGTAATTCCCTTAATCGACGAATTGAATAGAAGTTGGAACACAAGAAATTTGGTATACTCCACGACGAAATAATCCCTAATTAATAATTACTCTATTAGTTTTGTTTGAAAGCCCGTTAACAAGAAAATGACAATCGAACGTGAATTCGAAGTTTTTTTTCTTGAATTGATATTTCAGTTAGAGACGAAATTACGATCTCGTGATTTCTCCAGCATTAACATTCTCAAATGTAACATTACGTTGTCATGACGTAAATGTCCTCAAGGACAGTGGAGAAACATAATTTTCAATTTCCAGATTTTTTACTCTCAATTTTCTCTACTGATAAATGATCTGATGCGTGGGTTCCTTGGGAATGTCACTGTCCAGATTCAAGTAGGCGCCATTTTTTGTGATCAGATAATGAGTGAGGAGTTGACCTTTTCCCTTCACGAACACCATGCCACGTTGCTCAAAACCGTAGCCAAAGGGCTCGAGGATTTTTCTCGTCTCATCGGTCACCTAAAAGAACATTGATGAAGGCAAAAAAATTGTGAGAAAAAATCTTTCTTCGTTGGGGTTATTTCTCGATCGACGTAAATAGATAGGGAATTATTTCCAGTGGATAATGCATAATTCTGGCTTCACTATCCCCACAATTTTTTATCATCTGGAAATAGATTTATGGAGTATTTTTAGAAGGGACTGGAGTCTGTGCACGTGTATTGATTTTTTAAATTACAGTCTTGCTTTAATGAATGAAAAAAATTCATTGAAATTCATTTTATGGGGAATTTTAATCTCAGTTCTTCAACATTATTCGTTCGTTTTGTTTTATCATTTATTGAAGATGAAGTTCGTACTGTTGCTTTCGCGAAATGGCGAATTTTTGGGTCAGGATTACTATTTTCGCCGCAGGAGTTCGAATATGCTATTTTTAGACCATGTCCTGCAGTATGTGTGTATGTGTGACCGATCGTTTTTCGATGGCAACTAAAAATATAATTGTTCAAATGAATCCAATTGTGATTTAAAATTTTCTTCCCAATTCCATCTAGACCGAGTTTGATCAATTGGTTGGATCATCTGTTGTTGAAAAATTTCATTTTGAAACCAATATTCAGGGAAAGGTAAAAAATTTTAACTTTGGGGCAATGTTGGCTGCCAACGTTAAGGTAATGTTGGCTGGCAATGTTGGGGCAATATTGATTGATAACGTCAAAGTAATATTGGCCGCCAAAGTTGGGGTAACGTTGGCTGCAACTTTGGGGTAATATTGGCTGCTAACGTTGGGGCAATGTTGACTGCCAACCTTGAGCCAATTTTGAATTTCATGTATCACTGAATTCAATTTAAAAACGATCGTCAGAAATTCCATTCAGAAGCAAATTGCCAATTTATTAGCAAAAATATATTAAATATATTGTGACGAAGGCAATTTCCCACTTCTTTTATGTTTTATTAGTGATTGGGGGGATCCATTTGTCAATTTTTTTTACCTGCAAATGTCCAACTTTTCCAGTACTCTCCATCCTAGAGGCGACATTAACAGTATTCCCCCAGATGTCGTAATGAGGTTTTCTCGCTCCAATGACTCCAGCAGTAACTGGGCCGTGATTGATCCCCATCTTTAGGACGAAATGATTGAAGCTCTGTTCATTGATACTCGATAGGGCTTTCTTGAGCTCCAGGGCGAACTCAACTAGAGCGGAGAGATGGCTCCACCTGGGGCCATCCTCGAGCTCTGCGTCCTCGGTAATTCCCGAGGCCGCCATGTAGGTCGAGCCTATCGTCTTGATCTTCGTGATGCACTTGAACTTGCTCTGATCGAGGATCTGATAGAGGGATAATTATGTGGTGAAGTCCAACGGATTAATCGAGTAATCGATGGAGTTGGAGAGGAACAAGATGAGTGCAAACGGTTTTCATGGATTTTTTAAATAGAAATTTCTCTATTTATTTTTAAAGGCTTCACAGACATTTATTGAACACTACTTCTTGTGATGGAAATTCAATCAAGGAGGAAAAAAATAATTAAATTGCAAATTTCATTGATAACGTAATACAATTCTATAATAAATTTCTGAGTAACGAGAGAAAACAAAATTTTCTCAATTACTTGAATTTTTAATCAAAAGATGAATATTCAGTGCCGAATTATGCTGAATTTATAATCAATTAAATATTCAAGAATATATTCAACAGAACGTTCCTGATTTCTATTCATTTTCATGGAATAATTTGCTTTAAATTTACATTTTTCATTGATTTTTTCATCAAAATATGAATTTTTCATGACGAAATTTCTTAAAATTCTGATGGAATCATGACTCGATGAAAATTTTCAAGGAGTGAACTGAAAATTGTAAATATAAATAAAAGCTGCCCTTCGGAGATTTCCAGACATTAAAGTCTTCGATATTTTTTCATCAACCTACTACTGATTCTAATTTCTGTCTGAATTAATTCTTAACATAATGATTTCTGAAAGTTTCGAGTACATTTTATTTTCAACAAGAATGCACTCCATAAAAATATACTCAATATCCTCAAAATTATTTACAACTTTATAAAAAAAATTGAAGTTTCACGAACAGCTGACTAATAATTTTCAGAAGAGCGACATTTAATTCGATTTAGGGGAAAAAATCATCAAATTTCGCATTTCATTGAAAAGTCGATAAAATTCAAAATTTTTGTGACGCAGGAAAACCAAAATTCCCCCACTTACTAAAAAAAATATGATTATTCAATACCAAATTACGCAGAAAATTTTAATTGTTAAAAAATTCCCGAAAATATTCACTTGAATTTTTCTAATTTCTATCAACTTTCACTGAATAATTGAACTGAAATTTACAATTTCCGTAGATTTTTCCGTAACATTTTGAATTTTCAATCATGAAATAAATTGAAAGTTCAGCGGAACGATAATGTGATAACATTATAATGCTTGCACTCATCCGGAATTCGAGTCAGAAATCAAACGAGTGATATAAATTAACTCACAGCATCGAAATCGGAGATGACTTCATTGAGAAACCTCAGACACTCGAGTCCCTGATTATTGATACTCTCCTCGCTATAAAAATCCGCAAAAGTGGGCATACTGGCGAAGAGTACACCGACCTCGGAGTAGCTCTGGCTGTACAGGTCATCATGGTGTCTAGTGTTCGACAGATAGTACATAGCGACGTGGGGCGGTAGAATGTTATAAATCAAGGCGCCGTTACGCCTCTTCATATCCGCCGCCCTCTCGCGTTGCGCCACCACCTCACGTCCACGCAGAAACAGAATTCGCCTCGATTTCTCCGTCTGTTGAATGAGTAAAAAGGTGAGTGAGGGGTTGAGAATTCTCGCCATTTCGTGTAATGAAATATTTCACGACTGCGGAAGTGGAGAACTCATCAATAATAAATGATAATCAATGTCTCGATTCCATTGGAGATGTGAATTCGGGGAAAAATTGATCAACAATTTTGGTCGATTGATGGTGGAACAATAATCTGAAATTTGCTCTCTCAGCCAGGCTGTGGGGGCAAAATTAATCGACAACCAATCCCCGAGGTAATTGCCACCCCTACGCAACCCACACGCACCCCCTGTATTGCTCACTTCCCCTTCCAGTAGTACAAACACACGTTGCACCCTCCCCAATCGATTATACACCCTGGGAGTCACTTATTGTCTCGGAATCCCACGCCTCCAATTGTTTCACAATCCCAAATGGTCTTCTTGGAATTTAACAATCAATGGTGGACTGAAATTATTGATAGGTATTGTTGATGCGTTCAACTGAATCGAGGGGAGGCCACAAGGAAAAAAAAGTTAGGAGAAAAAATACCGAACGAATCATGTAATCGTGGAGCGGAATCCATTTCTGGTTCTTTTTCACCCGACTCTGTTAGAAATTTTTTTAAATTTCATGGAAGATATTATAGTGAAGCTGATGACAGTGACGTTGAATCGGATTTAGAAAAAAAATGGTTATGGAGTTATGAGTGAGATGGAAATTTCACAACTTGATTGAGTTTTCAGTGGAACATGAATATTCAGAAACAAAATGACGTGAATTCCCCTATCAAAAAATGTGTAAAAAAATATAATACGGGCCAATTCCATATATTTTTCAAATTTATAAAGAATGTATAAAAAATATATAAACCATATATTAAAAGACCACAACGGTCATACCATCTGGCACCACCCAATTTTTTATATAAACCATATATTTTACATATCAATAAAATATAAATAATCAATAAAAATATTAACAATAATATTAATTACTAAATTAATTGCTCATATTTTTTTACACAACTTGGCACGGTGGTTTGTTTGGAGGGGAGCTTGAGGGAAATACCCGATTAATTTTGAATCTCGAGGGGTATTTGTCAGATTTTTTTTCCCAATTGGATTTTGGCCAAGCAGAGTGCAGTGGACAACATCAGGAGGTGAATTGGGGAGGATTTGAACAAATTATGTTAATAGAATAACCCGATTTTCATAGACTGTCAAATATAAGATTCTATCTGAAATGAGCCGAAAGAATGAAGAGCTACTGCGAAATACTCAAAAGCTAGGAGGAAATATCCGAAATAAAACTGTTGGGTAGTCTCAAATACTGCATTCTGATTAATCGAAATCCGATTGGGAAAAATAGTCATTCACAAATGCGGAGGAATTGTTTATCTCTACTTGGCAAGTGATATATACTCACGTATCTGGCGACAATGACGAGTGTAACTGCGACAGTGAGTAACGTAGCCGAGAGTGAGTACTTGAGGGGCAGAGGCACTGGGTCAGAGGAGTACGAAGCCATGTCTTCGCGGTCCAAACTAGCCCCGAGTATGAGAATATTGACTGAACACTGGGTACCCGCCAGCATGAACATGAGCACGGATTTACCCAGGTAACTTATGTACGCCGGCATTGAAATTACAATCAGCGCTAAAACACCCACGTACGAGTAGTACGAGGGGTATGGACAGCGGGATGATTTTATGGAGGCGTTGCTGGGTGGATCCGCCTCGTCTATTACAGCACAATTACCCTGGGGAATAAAATCACGATTTGAGGTGATTGGAGACTGTAATTAGGGCACAAGCATCGTAAGCATGGTGTTAATGTATCGTTAATTTACGCCGGAATTCTCGAACCCATTTTTAATTGGGTGCAGTATTTCACGCATGGGAACATATTTTGACTCTTCATATGAAGTATTCTCGTGAAATTTCTTTGTAAAAATTCTTAGGCATGAGTTCTTCAAGTTCTTTCTGCTGTATTTTTCGGTGTTTTTTGTTAGTGAAGACGAGAAACATTCGGAAAGATTTACACAGAAAAATCAAAATCTATCTGTGTTTTTTCCGTGAAATGTAAATGCATAATTTCGAGCAGAAACTAGTGAGTATCAAATAGAATTATTACTGAAATCTCAGTGGGAAGTTGATGAATATTTTCAGCAAATAAATAGGGTTTTCTAGGGAATTTTTTCCACATGTTTTTTATCTGTTAAATTCGACGATTTAATGAGATTGGGGGATTGGTTTAAAGCCTGAGGGAATTATATTTCGAGCGTTATCTTGATTGTTTTCAGATTTCTAGCATCTGTAATATTATACTATTTCTATTTGATTTTATATCACGCTGGGGTCTCTAAAAATTATGATTGTGCAATAAAAAAAAGTTGAAAACATGCAAAATTAGAGAATTGAAAAATCGACCGATTACCAAGCTTCCATTCGAAACAAAAGTGAACATTTTTAAACAGATAAAATGAAAGGAAATTGCAATTGGATAAATTATTTTGGCAACTGACGATATGATAGCTATTGACAACTGTGAAAATGATTAATTTACAATTTCCTCGTTATTTGATTTATATCCTGATTTTTATTGAAAAACGCTCTCCAAAATTTTTCATTTTTTTAAGGATATCCAAGTATCTTTTACGATTTGTCAATTAAATGGCATGAGAAATTTGAAAAAAAAATCATGAATTCAGTGCCATTCAAATTACATTTTGCACAGAATTATTATTTCTTGAACATTCGTTGTTTGTAAATAAATAATTGAAATTGCTTAAACTTTTGAAAACCTTTTTTAAGATATGACATCGATTTGTGGCAAAATTCTGAATATGAATAAATGTATTATCATTTCGAACAAATGAGTTTTATGGTTGCAACTTGATTGTTTATAAATTATTTATAAAAGTGCTCGTAATTAAAAAAAATAGCATTTTTTTTATTATTTCATCAATCTTCCTCCAAAAAAACATTCTAATTTTTTTCAGATTTAAAAAATGTTTTCTAACGATTCAATATCGCGACTCAAATTGACACCTGTAAAGTTTAAATAATAAAATCACTCCATCTCAAATGAAAGCTCTATAATCATAATTTTCGGGGACTCCAGCGCGATGTAAAGCGCAATGGCAATTAAAAAATACTTTGGATTATCAAAATAAAAGAGAACAAGATCAAGTTCGAAAGATATCTTAGGCCTTAATTTATTCAGAGATTTTCTGAACGGATAAAGCATTTGCGGGTTATGATAAAAATGTTTAATGGGTTTTTTGAACTCACCATGTCGAGGATAATAAAAATACTGAGGGAAAAAATCATAAGTAGAGCGAGAGTCCGCCTGAGCCATCGAGCACGCACAGCACTCCCTAAACACGTAGCCCCGGCTAATACAATCCCAAAGAGAGTGACCATGCCGATACCACCAAAGGTGAATTTACCCGAGGGCTGAACCCTCCAAACTGGTGCAGCGCATATCATCACCAAAGGCCCACCTAAAATTTCATCAATTAGTGGGGGTAAGAGACGTAATCAAGTCGAGTAATTGGACGAAATTATGAGGTAAATATCGTATTTTTCAACTAATTATTTCCCAAATGATCAGAAAGGTAATAGATTAACCGGGAAATTGCATAGGACCTTTTTTGATGTGGATACGTCTATGATTTCAATATTTGGGATTAATTTAGGGCAAGATCTTCATGCCGCATTTCCATCTATCTGAATTCTAGGATATTCTACTTTTTTTTTAGGAAATACAAAAATAATCTCCAATTTTCCACAAAATTCGAGAAAATACTCCCCTTTTTTAGAAAACATTTCTTTTTCTTCTTCCTTTTTAAATTTCATACGCTCATAAATGCATTATAATATCAGGGCCCGATTGCACCAAGCCCTGTTATCCAAGTAAACTCCAGGGTAAAATTTATCCTCGGGGTCAATTATATCGTACCGATCATAATTTTCCAATATTTGACCCGAAGAATCATTTTTTATTTATCCTGTAGCCCCATTTGAATTAACACTGATTTAACCTTGGGGTTGAATTTTATTTTTTGTTCCTGAGATAAATTCGCGATACTCTCCCGGGTAAAATAATCCATCGAACATCCAAATTTACTTTTTTTCTTATCTGACGTTTTCGTTACCCGGAGCTAGTGCAACCGGGCCTGAAACTAAAAATTACTGGAATTCTACCTCATGAAACGCACAAGAATCCAAAAGTATGAAACAAACTAAAGGTATCGATTCAATTGTAAATCGCATATTTTCTATTAAAGAAACGGAGTTGTAACACACATTAACAACTCATTTTCAATATATAAAATTTTCCAAAAAATTACATTATCTCACAGCATCACTGCATATTTTCTACTAAAGAAACGGAGTTGTAACACACATTAACAACTCATTTTCAATATATAAAATTTTCCAAAAAATTACATTATCTCACAGCATCACTGCATATTTTCTACTAAAGAAACGGAGTTGTAACACACATTAACAACTCATTTTCAATATATAAAATTTTCCAAAAAATTACATTATCTCACAGCATCACTGCATATTTTCTACTAAAGAAACGGAGTTGTAACACACATTAACAACTCATTTTCAATATATAAAATTTTCCAAAAAATTACATTATCTCACAGCATCACTGAGTCGATACATATCGATTTCATAATTTTCCGTTCATTAGAAATGAGCGAAATCGAGTCGTATTGAACGCCCACTACGTTTGGTAACAGAAAGGCCCCGTCTACACTGTTGAAAATTTTCGTCTGAATTTCAACGTCACTCTCATGAGATTTACTATAACATCTTCCATGAAATTTCAAAAAATTTCCAACAGTGTAAGGGGTTAATGTTCTGTAAAATAAAACTGTTGACAAAGCGGTTCAAAAACCAGATGAGTAACGGAGGGTTAACGAAAGTTTTCTCCCCATCCCTCCGTTCAAAAAGTGATTCATGATTCATTGACTCACCCAATAATGAAAGTGGTGAGAATGCTTCTCCACTGCTGTGAAAGGCATCCTCGACATTGGGGTCCTTGAAGCTGAGTGTCAGCCACGACGCCTGACCCCTCAATTCCGCACCCCCCACTGGGACCAATAAATATCAATGAAATAGGATACCGGAGGGATCTATGGCTACGTATTTCATGAATGACAATCATATTCTGTACCTCGACTGTCAAGCTCTTTTCTGAGCCTCTCCCGGAAGTCCTTAGAGTCCTCTTTGGCGTTCCCCTCGTCGGGATGATCCATCATCGTCTGTGATGATTCGGTGCCGGCCAGGGGCGCCACGCTCTTTCCCGTTGCTGGTTGGAAGGGCTTCAGTGCCCTCACGATGAAGTAGGTGATGAGGCCAGCTTTTGCCAGGGCCTCCTCTCTTCTCTCCCCGTACGCCGGCTCCACTTCGAATTCTCCGTTTAAAAAACTCATCGTCGTGTTGGAAATGTGGACACGCCTTCCGTTGTAATGGGAACATAAAGATAATGTGAAGAACGAAGTGATAGTAATCTGGTAGTAATTTTAACTGTTAAATTTTTTGACTGAAATTTCTGCTACACTTATTGGGAATTTTCATGAAGTGATGGCTCCACTGGAATTTCGGCGTTGATAACTTACAATTTGGTGAAGAAATCGATGGAAATTTTAAATTTTAGTTCTATTCATCTAGGAGAATTAATAGAAATCAAGAACATTCTGGTGAATGGATTCTTGAATTTTTAATCAAATGGAAATTTTGTGTAGTTTAGTGCTGAATATTTATGTTTTGTTTGAAAATTCAGGTAAGTTGGAGAATTCTTGTCTACCTGCTGCTTCAAGCTTCCAAATTTCTTTGAAGTTTTCAGGAAAATTTGCATTTCAATTACTTTTCCTTACTTTAATTAAATTCGATGTCACTGAATGAAAAATTCTATTGGAATACCCATGAAATTAAAATTCTTTTTTCTACGAATGAAAAATGGTCATAAAATTTTCATTTTCAGGCAGAATTCAAAGAAATCATGATTTTAACTTTGCGTAAATGAGATGAAATATACTATTTCATAACTTCTTTCAATTTTCAAACATGAATTTTTCTAGTTTCTCAAGATTTTCGCGGAATAATTGAACTGAAAGTTGGAGCTTTCGTGCAAATATTAACTCCTTGAAAATTCAGTGGAAACGTCACTTGATAAAAATTTCCTGTATTCAATATGGCAAATTCACCCAAAAAATGTTAATCGTGTAGATCAGTCATCAAGACTTAACGAAATTGAATTTCTAAAAAATGGCTTTCATAAAGAAATGATTTTCTACGTTTGTAATCGAACCGGGCATTTTCCAATGACTTAATTATTTTTCCGAACATTTTACAATGATTTTATTATTTAAACTTCGCAGGTCTGATTTAGAATCTCGATATTGAACCGTTAGAAAAAATGTCAAAAATCTGAAAAAAAATAGAATGTTTACTTGTGGAAGAAGATTGATAAAATAATTAGAAAATTGCAATTTTTAACAATTACGAGCATTTTTACAAAAAAAGTTATAATAAACAATAAATTTTACACAATAAAAATCACTTGTTCGGAATCTCAACAATTTTATTCATATTCAGAATTTTACAAGAAATCGAGTGCATGCCTAAGAAAATAAGGTTTACGAAAATTTGATCAATTTGAATTATGTATTTCTTACCAACGAATGTTTAAAAAATGATAATTCTGTACAAAATATAGTTTGAATGACGCTGAATATTCATGATTTTTTTCAAACTTTTCTCACGCAACTTAATTAATAAATTTGCTGATTGAAAATGGTTGAATAAAATATAGAGCTATATTCATAAAATATAGCTTAGAATAAAATAATAAAACCATTCGTGTCGGTCATGAAATTCATGAACTATTGCAATATCTTTTAATCCATTAGATTCCTAAAGAAAGGGTCATAAGACCTCTTTTAAGGGCCATGAAAGTACTACAAAAAATATTTCCATTCATTTTCTCTTAAACCGCTTCCTCTGGGAGCCATCCGGGGAAATCATAAAAATCTGTACTGACTCCATCTCCTATTCTCCCTATTCTACTTCAGTGCAAAAATAAATATTTCATTTGAAATCCTAGGGCCGAATAAATTTGTCAGCAAACAATATAAATTATTTTACCCCGCCATTCCACTGCTCTCCATTTTATTCGCCAACACCACATCCTTACTGTAAACGTCAAACTGCCACTGCCTCTGTCCAAGGACACCAGCCAGAACGGCACCAGTGTGTATACCGACTCTCATATCCACCGGGCTCTGAGTCTTGGCCTGTACGTACTTTATAGCTTCCACCATTGATAATCCCATGTGGACACAGAGAATCGCATGATCCGGACGCTCGACGGGTGCTCCACTCACGCAGTAGTAGCAATCACCCAGGATTTTTATCCGCAATTGCTCGTACCTGATGACAGAAAAGATTTCTTCATGTTTTCATCCCTTCATTTATTATGAACACGATGGGAGGGAGTAGGAGGAGTATATTTAACCGCTGGGATAATATCCATTTCGATGGATTTTTTTGAAATTGAAGTACACTATTAAAAATTTGTATCAAGTGAAAAGTTACATGAATGAAAAATTTAAATAAATAAATTAAAATATCAATAGAAACTGTCATTTTTAGTTCAATTGTTCCCTGAAAATTAGCAGAAATTCTGATATTTATGGAATATTTTTTATGAAAATTCAGAATTAAATATTCTCTCTACTTCAACAATTGAAAATTAGATTATTAATATTAAGAGAAGTTACACCATGAAATAATTAAAGTTTATTCATCTTCATTCAAGTTAGAAAATTAATTAAGCCATTGATAGTCTACATTTTCAATCACTATGAATGAAGTAATTGATGGTATGGAATTGTTAATTAACCGTTGAGTAAATAATTCGGAATTTAAAAATTCAATTGATGATTAAGTTAAGAATTCAAAAATTATTGAGTACTATTAAATAACTGACTAATTCAGAATTGAATTTTATTAAAAAATCTTGATTATGCCGATGTCTGTTGAAAATGACAGAAGAACTATTTTGCAAATTTTTTGAAGAGTCCTGAGTTGAGAAAAAAAGTTGTAAAATTTTTCTTGTGGCTCATGAAATTTTCAAGAAAGAATGTCTTCTCATGTCACAAATATTAACGAAATAATCTTAATTGTAATTCTGACGGAAAAACTGATGAGTGGACGCCCCATTTCTTTATTTAGAGTTCATCGAGATGAAATTAAGAGAATCCAGGTGAATAAATTTTTGAATTTGGACCCTGTCACTGAAAATTAGCGAAGAAATCACTTGATTTCATGATTCCTCTCTTGTCAAATTTTGCAATCACCGCAGATCCCTAACACCCAAAACTTCTTTTCTCTATTTGAATTCGATTTAAAGTTGAATTTCAGTTCATATTTTTTTATTTGATTTTTTTTTCATCCGTCAATTCCCTGATCACCTTTGCGATAAAAAATTTTGTGTTTATGCTTAGCGAACATTAGGAGGGTGAGTAAGGGAGAGTGCAGGAGAATAGAAGAAGCTTAATTACACAACGAATAAAAAAAACCCACCCATTATCAGAAAACTAATTTCGTGAGCCAAATACATCATCTCTCGAGGACAAATCGCTTGGAACAAGAATTCCAGACCATGTACGAATTCCGTGAAGTATTCACGACTTGAATATGAAAACTTCGCGATGAAGTGAGAATTTCTCTCTTCAAGAAATCGTTTTTTCTTATGTCAGGAGATGAGAAATATGAGTCATGAATCCGTGAGTTTTATATGAAATGAATTCCGACGGCACACTGAGAAAAAAAATTTTGTTTTGAGAAGCGCGTCTTTACTTATATCAAGAAAAAGCTCTTCTGAAAAAAATAGGTTTGTTTCCGGTAAATGTATCCAATTTTTTTTAACAATGTATTAAGAATTCATTGAATATTTCCGCTTTTTTCATATATTATGTGTGTTTTTCTTAATGTTCCCACCGAGGGCCTATTCACAGGCGAATTAAGTGACACCGCGATTACAAAATGTAATCGATTACCCAGGATTACGGGACTGATTACACTGATTACCATTGCCTATGTGATAACCGTGATTACCAAGAGCACAGAATGTGATTAGATGATTACAAATGATTTCGTAGATTACATTCTGTTATTACCAAACATCTGTAATCAGTGAAATCACAAAAAATGGCCTCTTATTAAATATGAATTGATGGAATAATTAATTATTAGAACCTGCAAAGAAATGAGGAAGGAAGGGCGGGGTTAGAACAGAGGAATGCAGTCTCCAACACTCCATCTAAAAATTTGGGCATTTATAAGTGCTATCAGCAAAATAAATTTACTGAATATCTCTCATCGATGGAGAATGAAACGTACCAGCAGATAATTCACAGATAATTCAGTCGTTGGTTCTCCATAATAAGAAGAAATTTTAACTCTGTTGAATCAATTTTCTACGGACAAATGCTCTGTGCAAAACGCATTGGCTATGCAAGGTCTGAACCGTAAACATCTGTGATTCCAAGAAAAATTGATCCAGCGATCTCTGAGATTTACCGTTAGTAGAAATGACGCGCTCGAAAATTCAAAAAAAAAATTCACGGTCTCACTAGGAGCAACTGCGAAAGACTACACTGATTACAAATGATTACAGTGATTACAAATGATTACCACTTGATTACCAAAACTTGATTACAAATACGGCAATCATGTGATTACAATGATTACATTGATTTCACTGGGATTACAATTGATTACGTCAGCGAGTGACACCACGATTACGCCTGTGAATAGCCCCTCGGTTCCCACTGTCAAAAATATCTCAGAATCCAAAAGAGAAACGCAGTGTTCATAGATAGATCTCACTCGACTCTCGAATGAAAACCTTCCACGAACTCTTTCATCTCCCCCAGTTCCGCACAAAAACTCTCTCTCGAACGGAGGTCAACTCGCCCCGACCCACCCCTTTTTCAAACGAAACAACACACTCCCCGACTTCCCTAATTACCCCTAATCTCCACATTACCCCCCCCCCCC